AAGGAAGGCGGGGGGGGGGGGGGGGGGGGAAAAGCACTAATCTTGACTAAGCCAGGAAGGCAGCTCTCCCAGGGGACAGCGGAACTGCACAAAGAGATGCGGCCCCGTTAGTTCACCAGGAGCCTGATCAGACTGCAGCAGGGAGCCCAAGAAATGGTTGCGAAGGAGGTTTCGAGATCAACAAGACGCGGTTGTGCCTGAAGTGCAGCAACTGTTCCCAAGAACCTTCTGTGCCCACCACTCCGCTGGATAGCACTGGGAAAAGCCTAACCCTGCAGGACCTTGCGGTCAATCCTGCGCCCCTTTCTCAGGCTGATGGTGCAGACGGACACAAGTGAGCAGTGTCCAAAGTGGGAGCTACCACAGGGTGTGCCTACGGTACTGCACTTGAGCTAACAACCACACCGCTGCGTACACGTGGTCATACAGCCCGAGCCTCCACGCACTCCCACCAAGGTGGAGCACCCACCTGCCTGCACCCGCCCATAGGTACCACACGGATACCCTGTTCTGCCCTAAAGATAGGGCTCTGCACGCACAGCGTGCCTCCCACGGCACCAGAGAGAGTGACGGGCACAGGCTTAGAGCAGAGTATATGATAGGAAGTGAAAGAAAAACTGGGTATTAGTTTTAACTTCAAAGCAGATTCATTGGGAAAGTAATCTCTGTTAACAGCAACTTATCTTTGTTCGAACTAGCATCAAGTTCCAATGGGTTCTTTCAAGATCAGTGCATTATAAAGGCTCAAAATTCACAAAGCAACATACTTGAGGTGTGTTAAAGAAGAGTCAACCCCCTCAGGTACTTGCCACAAACTTACACAGCTGTGTAAAAGACGGGCCAAGCGATAAACCCCACAGCTGCATGGCAAAGCCGTGGCAGGGAGACAGCCTGGGAGAGCTCTCCTGCCCGATCACCGCTGCCAGACTCACACCCACCCCAAAACCAGCATTCAGGCCTCGCACAAGTACTCTGCTTCAGTCACCTACAGGGCAGGAACGCTCCACCATCACTTATTCACATCATCCATTTACCATCAGCCCCCCAAGAAGGAACACTTTCTTACTTCTGCGGAGTCTTAATGACCAAGTGTACAGTCAGCCCATCCTTGATCCCATGTTGATTCAACGTGTCTGCATCCTTCAGGATCTTCCCAGCAAAGATCAGAACCAGCTGATCCTGTTTGGCTTTAAACCGCCTGGAAATCTCTTCTTTGAACTGAAAAACAAACAAAGCATTTTTCAGGCAAAGGACCAAGACCAGAAATTTGAAGCTAATACTCCAGATATCATATCCACGATGCAAACAGCATAAAGGAACGGACAGTCCTTCAGTACCTCACCCAAAAGGAGCCCATGCAGGTACCAATTCAGTCACCAGTTGCTGAGGATGTCCGAGGAGTTAAGAAAAAACCCAAAAACCAAAGACAAGCTCTGCACTTACAAAATGTGGAGTAAATTTCAGAAAGAATAGAGCAATTACCTCAAGAAGAGCTGAAGGCTTCCAAAGCAAGATCAAGTGTGTCTCTTAGGTCTAATCCAAATAGACCATTTATCCTCTGAATGACTGAACTGTTTTTGTCTCTGCTCATTTGATTTTTTTCCTAAGGAAAGCCCAACTCTGATTTAATACAGGACAGAGCTCTATGGAAAAGGGAACAATCCTTTATCAGCCAATGGAAATAAACTAGGTCTTCTCCAATTCCTATTTCTGCAACTGAATTCCCTACGAGCATGCCACACCACAGAACACGGACACCTCTTCTTTACTGTGTGATGGGGTGGGATTAACGCCCGCCACTAAGATTGTCATCTCTAGCCCAGCCAGGGCATTCCCATGTTGATCTGCGAGGAAAAAAAAGCTTTGCATGTGGAAGCCACAAACTATAGGGAATCCAGAGGGAAAGCAAAGGCCAGGATGGAAAGAGAGGCACGCACCTGCCCCGGAGGAGCTCAAAGCCTTTGCACCAGAACCCTCAAAAACAACGCCCAGGAGAGCACGCAGCCCTGAGCCCCAGGTCACCCTGGTCAAAGCTTCGCGCTTTCCTCTGCACAAAGCCATCACTCAACATCCCACTTATAGCGACGGACTCTCAGGAGCTGACCAGGAAGGAGCAGGAGGGCCACACATCCTACAGCCCCTGCCTGTCCCACCACTCTGCTCCCCAGAGCTCTCTGCCAGGTCCTTCACACCACAACCTCGTGCCCTACGTCCCGGATCAAAGCGCGCAGCAAGCCAAGAGTCATGCTGATCACACCTTGCCCCAGTGGGCACAGAGACTTCAACAGTGCTTGAGCCAGTCCTTGCAAATTCCAGCCCCCTCCGGCTCACCCCATGCCACCGTGCCCTGTGAAGATCCCTTGCAGGAACAACCCCCAGCGGCAGCCCGCACGTGGGCTGATGTTCCCTTTCCTCCGCTCCATCCAACCTTCACCCCAAAGGCTTGCCCAGTCTCTCCTCTCACCCGAGGGATCCACTTCCCTGTGTCCAGACCCCACAACACCCAGCCCCATATGCACTCATCCGGCTCTGCCCCCAAAACCGCTTCTCCCCATCGCGGCACCCTTCCCATGCCAACCGCTCAAGGAACGCCTTCCCTTCTGCTCCCTGCGTGGCCCAGCCCCCAGACCCCCACCCCAATCCTTGACACCCCTCTCCCCACAGCCACCATCCACCCCAAAGCTGCCATCCCCACGACCACTCCCCACAAAGCCACTCTCCAAGCCTCTCACAACTCCCCCCCAAATCCCCCTCATTTTCCACACCCACACACCCTCC